TACTGTAATACAAATGTGATCATGGAGTTCCGATTCAGCATATTTAAAATATAATAACTTTATATGTAAAATTGAATAACACACTGCAATTAAATAATCAATAACTTCAATGTATTATTTAACGGAGCGTATTATTGCATGACAAAAGATTAAAACATAATTTTAAATGTACTTTAATGTAAACCTTTTCACATTATGAAAAAAAAGCACTTTTTAAAAGTCTACTTAAGTGATAAGTCATAAAAATGTGTATATTCTTTAAGTTCACTTTAGTGGGTTTTAATTTAATTAATATTATATTGTCTGCAAGTAAATTGTTTTGTACAAATTTTGAGCACATTCAATACAATTAAGCGCACTTCTTTTTCACAAGGGACATAAGACCTCTCATAAAATTAGCATATTGCAGTTGTTTTAACAGCCTTGTAGTCATGCTCTGGATAGGCTGCAGCAAGCAGCAATTGACTGGTCAGTCAACCCCATTGGAAAATCCAGCTTAAACCAGTTTCTTTTAGTTTCATGTTGATACAATCTGTTTTTTTTTTTGTTTTTTTTTCAAATGGGGTATTTTCTCAGAGAACTTTTATATATGTAAGTCTTCTCAGCTACAGCCTTTTTAAGCCCTTAAATAACATCACTATCCGCACAAATGCTTCTAGGGATCTTCTGTGGCTTGTTTTATGCCACCAGCAACAACTGACAATATGCTGGACACCCTCCCTACTACACGATACACTCCTTGGGCTCACCAACTTGCAATGTCATATTAGTGTCAGTATTTTTACAATTCTGTGCCTGGTTTGGATATTTTGCTCCACTTACGCTGGTACACGCTCAAATCATTAGTTTCCTGTGTACTGTAATAATGCTTCACTGCTAACTGTAATGTTCTGTTATGCCAGCTTCACCCGCTCCACCCTATGGTATCAATGTGTTGGAATGTGTGCGGGACTCGATGGTACTAGCCTGGAAACAACCCACTTTCATCGGTGGTGCTGACATCACTGGTTACTTTGTTGACTACCGTGAGGTCATCGATGGAGTCCCGGGAAAATGGCATGAGGCGAACATTAGGTCTGTCAGTGAGAGAGCTTATAGAGTAAGTAGCACATTTACTGTAAGTAAAAGGAGGCAAAATAAAAGGCTTTGAGCAATTTTTGATCTCCAACCTTTTCTTTCTGTCTAGGTTTCAGAGCTGAAGGAAAACATGCTGTACCAATTCCAGGTACGTGCTGCCAACATGGCTGGTGTGGGCATCCCGTCTCTTCCCAGCGAGGTATTCAAGTGTGAGGAGTGGACTATTGCTGTACCGGGTAGGCACAAACTAATTTGAACAATACATTTTCTTTTCCTTTCAGAGTTGTAATGCTTACGGTGACCCTTGTGAAAAAGTAGTGCTTTTTGAAGAAGTGAGATATATATTTCATATGTAATTTCATAATTATTACTTCTATAGTCTTTTGAAGTATGGTTTAAGGGCCCTATTTTAACGATTTAACCGTGTGGTCTTAAGCGCATGGCGCAAGTGCACGTAGGGCGTGTCCGCATCCACTTTTGCTAGTTTAAAGGCACACTATGCAGCTCTAAGGCCGTGTGCCCACCAAAGCGTTTTTCCACGCGCCTGGCGTATGTTTTCAATGGGAGCGCCGCGTTTTTTAAACGCCATGAGCGTACCGAGGCGCTGAGCGTTTTTTTTTTCATGCTGCAGCGCCGAGCGCCCTGCGTTTTTACTGGTCGCTGGGAGTTGAAAAATGTTCAACTTTGGATAAAACGCAGCGCTCATCACTGTCACTCAGCCGTCCAATCACAGAGGAGGAGGGGCGGGACTAATAC